TACATTTTTTTTTTTAAAATACTTACAATATATTAAAGGTAATCAACTCAGAACTCTTACAATATATACATGTAAAGGAAATCAACTCAAAATTTACAACATATCATAACAGTTCTATCTATATTGATGATTTGTTTGTTTTTCAACAGTCGACTCAGGAGGAGCCAATCTGCCCCGTCAAGCAGACGTGTTTCCAGATCGGGACCATTTTGGACGTATATTCTACAACCAGGCAAACATGTCGGCATTAAACATACCTCAGGTTATTTATATATACAACTATGTTAATATCAAGAGGCAAGGTGTGAAGTGGCCACATGTCAGAATAACTTTAAAGTGTCAGCGTGGTCACTATTTTGTCAAGTTTGCAACCAATTAGCATGCTCAAACCAAGTTTGAAACAGTGTGACCTCCTGTTCATTGAACACAGGTTCTCCTGTTTTCTCTTGACTGTTTTGCAGAGAAAAATTAAGTTATTATGATTGCAGCATTTTTGTTGCCGTCATCTACGATAAGTTTAGTGTAGCCCATCACTCAAAGAATTTAAGTAGAGCTGTCAATGATTCAGTGCAAGACACCAATATCGAATGACAAATATCTCCGAGTAGGGGCAATATATAGGAATCACTTCTCCATTGTCTGTCCGTCACAAAACTTGTCCAGACTATTTAAGAACAACTGATGCAAATTCAATATTATTATCAACCAAAAAAATACCGACGATACATCAATTTGGTTTCTATCGATGACATTATATACATAATTATATAGCATCTTATACAGAAGTACTCTATGGGTGTCTTGGTCTGCTTTTATACAGTTTATTAGTGCCACATAAAATGTATTTGAAATAGAAATTAGCTTTGAAATTTACAAACATGCCAAGCTAGTAACTTATATAGAATAATTTAGAATTTCAATAGCCAGTTAGAAAATGTACTAGATTTTTGCCCCTTGGGCTGAACAAGTGCTAATTTTGACGTGTGGCATCAAGTCATTAACATGTTTCAAATGATTACCTTGCTACATTTGTTTAAGATATTTACATCTGCAATCTTGACATAGTTGGCCAAGTGCTTAAGATTGCTAACTTCAAACCAATTGCCCCTAAATGCTAAGGGTCCTAGTCCTGTTAGGAGCTTAAAATTCTTTCATGTGGGGAAGCTATCCATCTAGCTCACAGAATGTTTATGTTTCTAGTCAGGTGCCTGTTTGTGACTGAAAAAGTGCACGTAAGGGAACATGAGGTTGTCCGCCACCAGTTTTTGTAACATTTGATATATTAGTCTTGAAATTTTGAATTAAAGATTTTGTAATGTTGGATGATTGCCTTTAAAGTTGTAAACTTTTTTTCAGGTAGCAGTTGTGCTGGGATCATGTACGGCAGGGGGCGCTTATGTGCCGGCAATGGCTGATGAAAGTATTATTGTCAAAAAACAGGGTACTATCTTTCTAGGTGGACCTCCTTTGGTAAGTCATTAAATAGCCAACAATATTTGTTTCACTAGACTTTTTTGTTATCCTTAAAGGTATTTCATTGAGTCATTTTGACATGACAGGACTTGAAATAAGTTTTCCTTTTGATGAAGGGTTAGACCAATAACTTTTGTGCAAAATTTTAAATTATTCGCTTATTCTGTTTATTTTCATCTTCAGATTAATTGTTCTAGATTTCTAATTGTGAAAGATACCCCAAATTTAAATGTGTTGCAACACTTCCCTCAGAATGGGTTAAATTTAAACACAAAAATATGATTTTCAATTTATTTCTGAGTTTATTTCTTAATTACCTTTTGCATAAATTTCTGTTTTAAGTGCCCCAGATGATTTACGTAAGAAATTAATATCTAATGTTTTAAGGCTTTTGACCTGAGTGAAGTTCCTTTAATTTTCTAACCCAACTATCTTGAAACCTAGGCAACCATATGTTCTGGATGTCTTCAGTTTGCAAATTCCATTTTTTAAATCATAAAAATAGGCATTCACATGTCCTGGTTATCTCCAATTTACTGTCTACTTTTGTAGTAAAAGACTAAACAATAATGATTCTTTGATTGCCTGAATTTTCAACACTATGAAGTTGTCGGCCTCTTAACCCAGACATCATATATTTAAACTTAACTGGGTAACATTTATATTGATTAATACATATCATGACAGAGCTCCAGATACTGGGATGAAAATTAAGCATATTTAAACTACACCAGAGTCCACTTCTGAATCCATATCATCAGAGCTCCAGATAATTTTTTTAGCCAAGGGGTTTTTACCCCTTAAAATCTAGAGTGAGGGGTAAAATGCAAATTCTGAAAACGTAAGAGTTAAAATCTGTCAAAAAACGCATTTTGCATTTTTTATAAACAATTTAACCTTATTGTTTTTGTTTGTTTGTTTATTTCCTTTTTTCTTTTGGAAAAGAAACTTTTACAAATAAAATACTGATTCAGTGTGAAACAATACAAAACATGCTCTGTAAAGTCAGACTTCAAGAGTATACTGGAACTCAAGTTTAGGATACACAGCAAAATTATCAGGGCTTCCATTTTCAAAATTTGAAAGTCAAAGACTTCAAAATCTCTGATATTAGAAGTCACATTATATAGGTAAAGTATTTTCATTTTGTTGTGCGTAACTTTGACGCAAAAATTTTGAAAAAAGATGCGTATTTTAGATTTTCTATGCGCATTCCAGTCAAGCTCAAATAAACTTATTTTTGATCATCAAACTCCAATCCTGTCTGAGACTTCAGATTCTTCCCAGTGAGGTAAGCTATCCAGCCAGCTTATGGAATGTCAGTGCATTATCTCTGGCATGGTTGGGCACCTGAACAGATAGCTAGATAGCTTCATCAACAGTGTGGGGCAAGTTGCTTGAAGTCAAGGACCGTAACCACTTGGCCATGGTTGCCCCAATGTCTGTACTAAAATGTATTTGAGATATGAAAGTTTTTATAATTGATAACCAACTGTTTATCTTATAAATCTGATATATATTTTTCTTTTACCATATATGAGCCATGTCACTACAAAACCAACATAATGTGTTTGCGACCAGCATGGATCCAGACCAGCCTGCGCATCCGCGCAGTCTGATCAGGATCCATGCTGTTCGCTTACAGACCCTATAATAAGTAAAGAAACTGATAGCGAACAGCATGGATCCTGATCAGACTGCGCGGATGTGCAGGCTGGTCTGGATCCATGCTGGTCGCAAACCCATAGTGTTGGTTTTGTCGTGACACGGCTCATATACACCTAGGTTAAGGCAGCTACAGGTGAGGAGGTGTCAGCAGAAGATCTAGGAGGAGCTGACCTTCACTGTAGGTAGGTCATTAAGGTCAAAGGTTAAATGTAAGTCAGTGGCCTTGTAGTTAAATGATTAAGGTCAGAGGTCAGATGTGAAATAGAAACTTTGTATATTGTATGTCATTGAGGTTAAAGAAACAAAACATTGATACAGAGCTATTGTAGGTGAATGATAAAGGTCATAAGGTAAATTTAAGATAAAATGTGAAGTTTCATTATTATACCCTACAACATATTGTGGAGGGGCTATACTGGAGTGACTTTGTCGTGTGGGCCTGTCGGGCAGTGTGTTTAAGATAAAACATGAAATTTCATTATAATACCCTACATGCCTACAACATATTATGAAGGGGCTATACTGGAGTCACTTTGTTGTGTGGGTCTGTCTCAAGTGGCATCTCTATCAATTCTTCTGGCGTGGGTTCGATCCCCGGGTGATGCTTTGGTAGTTTAGCGCGGAGGAAGGTAGTCTAGTACTGGTGTAACTCTCCAGGAAAGATGGTTAGGAAACTACCCGCCTATATGACTGAAATACTGTTGGAAAAAGGTGTAAAATGAAACAAACAAACAAACTCTATCAATTCTACACCCCTTGACAGTTTTCATCAATTTGACACAAATGTTCACATTAATTATGTAATGTGCAGAACCCATGTCACCACTGTACTTGCTAAAGGTTGAGGTCACACTTAACTATACAACCTTTGCCCCAATGCATCGATTTCTTTTAACATGGCTTAAATGTTTAACAAATTGACATGCTGCATGATGCAGGACCTATGCCATTCTTGTGCTAGTTCAAAGTGGAACTGTAAGCTGTGGGAGTGTTTGGTGAAGGCCCTTTTTGAAGGTCAAGGTCACTTTTGAAGGTCAAAATCACTTTTGAAGGTCTAGGTCTTTTTTTTTAAGGTCTCATGTCAGATGTCTGATACTTTAGTGCCCGTAACATAAATTCTATACTCCTGAAAGGATATCTTTGATTTTTTTCTCAATTGTTTACCTTAAAAATTAACAATAAATTGACCTTTTTAAAATCCAGTGTCAAAGAGAAGTAGGGTTATTGGTCACTTCTGTGACAGCTCTTTAGTGTAGATAAACTTAGGTAAGTCATTTAGGTCAAAGGATAACTTTCAAATAAGGTCATTTATTATAAGACCTCCTTGTTTTTATTCAGACACTAAACCCTTTAATATGTTGTTAACAGGTACTTTTAGTACTTTTAACTGGAAAACAGATCATGCTGTTGAAACAGTGCCATGTGACATTTAAGCCGCGCCATGACAAAACTAACATAATGGGTTTGCGACCAGCATGGATCCAGTCCAGCCTGTGCATCTGATCAGGATCCATGCTGTTTACTCTCAGTTTCTCACCTTGTAAAAGGGTTGGTAAGCGAACAGCATGGATCCTGACTAGACTGCGCGGATGCGCAGGCTGGTCTGGATCCATGCTGGTCCCAAAGGCACTATGTTGGTTTTGTCGTTACGCGGCACATTTACTGTTGTTTAGTAATCCACATTTACTAATATCTTTACATGTTTCTTTTTTCAGTAAATCTGGTGTGACGGATTATTATGCACAAGATGATGCCCATGCTTTACATCTAGCTAGAAATGTCATCAAAAATATTAATTATAACAAAGAGCCTCAGGTATGTTATTTAGGCTTTAAGCCATTACAATCATTTGTTATCCCCTAGTGGCCTGGGGTTGCCTTTAAGGGTTGAGGCATATAAACTGAAGCCACCGTTTATCACTGCGTTATCGTTAAAGGCGATTAAATGGGTTCTTATTACTGGAGTCTATGCATATTTTAGCTCCAGAAGGTGAGGTGGTTTTGACCCCTGGTGTTGCTTTTAGTTTTTAACACCCCAGGTAAGCCAAATTCATCTTTACTGTTTCTGTGTCAAATGACTTAAATAGTGTTTGTTTGCTGTAAAACCAGGCAAAACAAACAAACAATTTTTAGATTGCATGATTGACTCATCAACATAACCTATTGACCTAAAAGACTTGCTTACCTTTAAATTACTCACTTAAATAACTCACCTACACATCATGCTCACCTATAAGACATACTCACTTATAAGACATACTCACTTATAAGACATGCTCACCTATAAAACATACTCACCTATAAGACATACTCACCTATAAAACATACTCACCTATAAAACATACTCACCTATAAGACATACTCACCTATAAGATGTGCTCACCTATAAAACATACTCACCTATAAGACATACTCACCTATAAGACATACTCACCTATAAAACATACTCACCTATAAGACATACTCACCTATAAGACATGCTCACCTGTAAAACATACTCACCTATAAAACATACTCGCCTATAAGACATACTCACCTATAAGACATACTCACCTACAAGACATACTCACCTATAAGACATACTCACCTGTAAGACATACTCACCTATAAGACATGCTCACCTATAAGACATACTCACCTATAAGTCATACTCACCTATAAGACATACTCACCTACAAGACATACTCACCTATAAGTCATACTCACCTATAAGACATACTCACCTACAAGACATACTCACCTATAAGACATACTCACCTGTAAAACATACTCACCTATAAGACATGCTCACCTATAAGACATACTCACCTGTAAAACATACTCACCTATAAGACATACTCACCTATAAGACATACTCACCTATAAGACATACTCACCTATAAGACATGCTCACCTGTAAGACATTCTCACCTATAAAACATACTCACCTATAAGACATACTCACCTACAAGACATACTCACCTATAAGACATACTCACCTATAAGACATACTCACCTTTAAGACATTCTCACCTATAAAACATACTCACCTATAAAACATACTCACCTATAAAACATACTCACCTATAAAACATACTCACCTATAAGACATACTCACCTATAAGACATACTCACCTATAATACATACTCACCTATAAGACATACTCACTTATAAGACATACTTACCTATAAAACATACTCACCTATAAGACATACTCACCCATAAGCCATACTCACCTATAAGACATGCTCACCTATAAGCCATACTCACCTATAAGACATACTCACCTATAAGACATGCTCACCTATAAAACATACTCACCTATAAAACATACTCACTTATAAGACATACTCACCTATAAGACATGCTCACCTATAAGACATACTCACCTATAAGACGTGCTCACCTATAAAACATACTCACCTATAAGACATACTCACCTATAAGACGTGCTCACCTATAAAACATACTCACCTATAAGACATACTCACCTATAAGACATACTCACCTATAAGACATGCTCACCTGTAAGACATTCTCACCTATAAAACATACTCACCTATAAGACATACTCACCTACAAGACATACTCACCTATAAGACATTCTCACCTATAAGACATGCTCACCTGTAAGACATACTCACCTATAAAACATACTCACCTATAAGACATACTCACCTATAAGCCATACTCACCTATAAGACATACTCACCTATAAGACATGCTCACCTATAAAACATACTCACCTATAAAACATACTCACTTATAAGACATACTCACCTATAAGACATGCTCACCTATAAGACATACTCACCTATAAGACATACTCACTTATAAGACATACTCACCTATAAGACATACTCACCTATAAAACATACTCACCTATAAAACATACTCACTTATAAGACATACTCACCTATAAGACATACTCACCTATAAGACATACTCACCTATAAGACATGCTCACCTATAAAACATACTCACCTATAAAACATACTCACCTATAAGACATGCTCACCTATAAAACATACTCACCTATAAAACATACTCACTTATAAGACATACTCACCTATAAGACATACTCGCCTATAAGACATACTCACCTATAAGACATGCTCACCTATAAGACATGCTCACCTATAAGACATACTCACCTATAAGACATACTCACCTATAAGACATACTCACCTATAAGACATGCTCACCTATAAGACATACTCACCTATAAAACATACTTGTCTATAAGGCATGCTCCCCTATAAGACATGCTCACCTATAAGACATACTCACCTATAAGACATACTCACCTATAAGACATGCTCACCTATAAGACATACTCACCTATAAAACATACTTGTCTATAAGGCATGCTCCCCTATAAGACATGCTCACCTATAAGACATGCTCCCCTATAAAACATACTCACCTACAAGACATACTCACCTATAAGACATTCTCACCTATAAGACATGCTCACCTATAAGACATACTCACCTATAAAACATACTCACCTATAAGACATACTCACCTATAAGCCATACTCACCTATAAGACATACTCACCTATAAGACATGCTCACCTATAAAACATACTCACCTATAAAACATACTCACTTATAAGACATACTCACCTATAAGACATGCTCACCTATAAGACATGCTCACCTATAAGACATACTCACCTATAAGACATACTCACCTATAAGACATACTCACCTATAAGACATGCTCACCTATAAGACATACTCACCTATAAAACATACTTGTCTATAAGGCATGCTCCCCTATAAGACATGCTCACCTATAAGACATACTCACCTATAAGACATACTCACCTATAAGACATGCTCACCTATAAGACATACTCACCTATAAAACATACTTGTCTATAAGGCATGCTCCCTATAAGACATGCTCACCTATAAGACATGCTCCCTATAAAACATACTCACCTACAAGACATACTCACCTATAAGACATTCTCACCTATAAGACATGCTCACCTATAAGACATACTCACCTATAAAACATACTCACCTATAAGACATACTCACCTATAAGCCATACTCACCTATAAGACATACTCACCTATAAGACATGCTCACCTATAAAACATACTCACCTATAAAACATACTCACTTATAAGACATACTCACCTATAAGACATACTCACTTATAAGACATACTCACCTGTAAGACATACTCAACTATAAGACATGCTCACCTATAAGACATGCTCACCTATAAAACATACTCACCTATAAAACATACTCACTTATAAGACATACTCACCTATAAGACATACTCACTTATAAGACATACTCACCTGTAAGACATACTCAACTATAAGACATGCTCACCTATAAGACATACTCACCTATAAGACATACTCACCTATAAGACATACTCACCTATAAAACATACTCCCCTATAAGACATTCTCACCTATTAAACATACTCCCCTATAAGACATACTCACCTATTAGACATACTCACCTATAAGACATACTCACCTATAAGACATACTCACCTATAAGACATACTCACCTATAAGACATACTCACCTATAAGACATGCTCACCTATAAGACATGCTCACCTATAAGACATACTCACCTATAAGACATACTCACCTATAAGACATACTCACCTATAAGACATACTCACCTATAAGACATACTCACCTATAAGACATACTCACCTATAAGACATACTCACCTATAAGACATACTCACCTATAAGACATACTCACCTATAAGACATGCTCACCTATAAGACATGCTCACCTATAAAACATACTCACCTATAAAACATACTCACCTATAAGACATACTCACCTATAAGACATACTCACCTATAAGACATACTCACCTATAAGACATACTCACCTATAAGACATACTCACCTATAAGACATGCTCACCTATAAGACATACTCACCTATAAAACATACTTGTCTATAAGGCATGCTCCCCTATAAGACATGCTCACCTATAATAAATGCTCGCCTATAAAACATACTTACCTATAAGACATGCTTACCTTTAAGACATACTCACATATAAAACATACTTGCTTATAAGGTATACTTGTCTATAAGACATACTCACCTTTAAGACATACTAACCTTGGGCGTCCGTGGCCAAGTGGTTTAGGTCGTTGACTTCAAACCACTTGCCCCTCATGCAGTGGGTTTGAATCCTGACAGGGACTATGAATCTTTTATGTGAGAAAGCTATCCAGCTAGCTTACTGAACGTCTGTGGTTCTACCCGGGTGCCTGTAGTGTCTGAAATAATCACTTTGAATCCCACCAAGGACATGGATTCTTTAAGTGAGGGAGCTGTCCTTTCATGCCTGAAATTACACACAAAAGTTCACTCGAGGTCTTCCTTCATCAGTAAAGCTGGAAAGTTCCCATATGATCTATACCGTGTTGGTGCAATGTTAAACCCTACCAAAGATGAAAGTACATACTTGTATGGCAGAACAAACAGTTAATGACTATTTTCAGGTAACCATTATTTCACCAGAAGAGCCACTTTATTCGGCAGATGAGCTGTATGGCATTGTTGGGGGAAATTTAAAAAAAACATTTGATATCCGTGAAGTAAGTACAGTTCCTTTTACAGTTTATATGCGTTGTTCTATGAAAGGATTAGAAAATAGTGTACATTGATTTACATGATAACAATAATATGTCATTACTTGAAGCTTAACTACTAGTAATCAAAGAAATGGAAGAGTTATTGAACTTCTACAGACATTGACATCCCACTTAAGTTAATTTTTTTGGTGCACGTTGGAATCTCCAATACTACTGAAGGGAATGAATTGAACTTTTTACACTTATTTAAGAGCATTATAGATGGTTTCTTTAATTTCAAGGCCTATAAGTCTTACATAGATTTTGACAGAATTATGGTCTTTTTTGAAAATTTATACATTATCGCAAATATTTCCGCACACAAAAAGTCTGTTTGTTTTATTTAATTCATAAACTTTTAATGACATAAAAATATTAACTTATACAGTATTTGTTTGTTATATATTTTTTAGGTTATAGCTCGGATAGTTGATTGCAGTAGGTTTGATGAGTTTAAAGCTTTATACGGGGAAACACTAGTCACTGGTAAGCATTCAACTCATTTATCGCAGGGTCACAATTTTCTTGCATTGGATTCAATTGAAAAAAATGTTTGCCAAGTATTGTTAAGTATTATAAATGTATAAATTATACCATTGTGCCCCCCAACACCCCCACCACCAAAAAAGGAAATAAATGAATAAAAAGTAAAAAATTTAAAAATTCACATATCAAATGAGTGTTTGTTTATAGGTGTTAATGCTGAATTTGTTTTTGTCATATCTTGGCTAACTGTCCACCTTATACCGGACTTTTCTGGATAACCACACTGTAGTTTTTCTCGAGCAGTGTTCAACTTCTTACATCACATGATATTTTAATCAGCATAAGTAAGAGACAAATGTCCAATTAGTTTAGACTTGTTATCTTAGATTAATTGTCACAAGGAAATTTCACCTCGCCCGTGGATCTAGCCATTAATTGTCCCCTTGATAACTTACCCAATGCTCTCCCTGTTGAGCTAATTGGGCGGAGTCTATGGCACATCAGGTTATTGGTATATAATAAATCCAGGGGAAAAGACAAATTAACAGTTATTATAGTAAAAATTTAATTACAGACATGAAATAAGCATGACTTGTATCATTGGAATTTTACAAAATTAGAGTGTATATATGTCTGTTTTATTTTTCAGGATTTGCAAGGTTATGGGGTTATCCCGTTGGCATTATAGGTAACAATGGTGTGCTCTTCTCAGATTCGGCACTGAAGGTATATAAGCTTGCAATTTTTCTTTCCAATTTTTTTAGCTCACCTGTCAGAAAGAGACATGGTGAGCTTTTGTGATCCCTATTCATCCCTCATCTGTAAACTTTTACTTTAAACGACATCTCCTTATAAACTGCAAAGCCAATTTCATCCAAACTTTACAGGCATGTTACTTTGGTGGTCACCTTTGACCCCCGGGTCATTGTTTTCCTAATATATATACAGTAAAAACTTCAAAAATCTTTTTTTTTAAAAAACCAAAGAGCTAGAGCTTATATATTTAGCATGAAACATTTTTTAATGAGTGTCTACCAAGTTTGTTTTAATAAAAGCCTTGGGGTCAAAATTTGCTCTATCCCAGAGTTTATATACACAGGTGAGCGATTTCAGGGCCTTTATGGCCCTCTTGATATGACAGTTTATTTACTGATGTGTTTCATTTAGTGAAGGCCCTTCTCATGATATCCTCGAAGAATTGATTGATATTTTCATGATTTTGTATAATACAACAGTTTCTGCTGGTGTGAAGCACCGATACATTAGACCCTGGTATTTAAAGGTTTCGAAGGCATGACTGGCAAGACCACACACCACTTTAGTCCATGAACAGGCTCAGTCAAATCAAGCCTGAATTATTTTCAATTTTGCTATTTTGCGTTTTCTTTGCAGGTTTTGTTTTTCCTAATTTTTCTATGTACATTTATTGCAGTTGTAAAAAGATGCCTCTCCCTTCATCTCAGTGTTATGTTATTTTTATTTGTTGGGTTTAAGGTTATAACTATTTATTATGCCCCCGCCATGTAATGGCCGGGGCATATAGTGTTACCCTGTTCCGTCCTTCCGTCATTCCGTCCTTCCGTCCTTCCGTCATTCTGTCATTCCGTCATCATCAGTTTCCGTTCATTATCTAAGTAACGGTTGCACACATTCAACTCAAATTTGACATATGGATATGTCATGAGAAAATACAGGTCAAGTTCGAATTTGGTCATGGTTCGATGATTTTTGGCAGAGTTATGCCCCTTTTACTTTAAAATAATATGAAATTTTCAGTTTCCGTTCATTATCTCCCCAACGATACAACACATTCAACTCAAACATGACATATGGATATGTCATGAGAAAATATAGGTCAAGTTCGAATTTGGTCATGGTTCGATGATTTTTGGCAGAGTTATGCCCCTTTTACTTTGAAAATAATATGAAATTTTCAGTTTCCGTTCATTATCTCCCCAAAGGTACAACACATTCAACTCAAAATTTGATATATGGATATGTCTTGAGAAAATACAGGTCAAGTTCGAATGTGGTCATGGTTCGATGATTTTTGGCAGAGTTATGCCCCTTTCACTTTGAAAATAATATGAAATTTTCAGTTTCCATTCATTATCTCCCCAACGGTACAACACATTCAACTCAAACTTGACATATGGATACATCAAAGGAATGCGCAGGTCAAGTTCAAATTTGGTCGTGGTTCAATGATTTTTGGCAGAGTTATGCCCCTTTCACTTTGAAAATAATATGAAATTTTCAGTTTCTATTTATTATCTCCCCAACAGTACAACACATTCAACTCAAATTAAACATATGGATACGTTTTTGGAATGCCCAGGCCAAGTTCGAATATGGTCATGGTTCAATGATTTTTGGCAGAGTAATGCCCCCTTTACTTTGAAAATAATATGAAATTTACAGTTTCTGTTCATTATCTACCCAACAGTGTTACATATTCAACTCAAATTTGACATATGGATATGTCAAAGGAATGGGTAGGTCAAGTTGGAATTTGGTCATGGTTCGATGATTTTTTGGCAGAGTTATGTCCCTTTCACTTTGAAAATAATATAGATACATCTTAGGAATAAGCAGTTTAAGTTTGAATTTGGTCGTGGACAAACTTATCTTTCTTGAATGTTGGAAAAATTTTGAACTTTCAGTTTCAGCACTCATACTTTTGTGGAAAGTTTGAATTTGGTCGTGGTTCAATGATTTTGGACAAACTTATCTTTCTTGAATGTTGGAAAAATTTTGAACTTTCAGTTTCAGCACTCATACTTTTGTGGAAATGTATGTAGCCATTATTTTGGCTACAAATATGAAATATGCTATTTTCAAAAGGTTAAGACTAAATAATTTCAGTGCTTTGAACATTGTATGAAAATGGTTTGTGTTAACATTGAAAAGTTTTAAGGGCTTTGAACTGCAAATGAAAAAAATAATTTGTGCAAACAAATTTGGAACTAAATATTATAACATCTGAAATTTTGGCTGCATGCGGGGGCATCCGTGGCATGATGACACATTTCTAGTCTGTAATGATTTAAAGCAACCTTCAGCTTTTCTAAAGGTTAAATATTTATTTTTATCTTATTTTTTTATTCATCATTTACTTTAATTGTCAAATCAAAAGAATTAAGAAAATGAAATTTGCCGTCAATTTATAACATAAACAATAAGAAAACCCATCCATACCATATCTATACCAGCCTGCTCTCTATATGTAATTAAATTACCGCCTCCATGGTCGAGGGTTTAGAGTCGATGACTTCTAATCCAGTTACCTCTCTGGCGTGGGTTTGATCCCCGGGAGATGCTTTGGTAGTTTAGTGCGGAGGAAGGTAGTCTAGTACTGGTGTAACTCTCCAGGAATGATGGTTAGGAAACTGCCCGCCTATATGACTGAAATACTGTTGGGAAAAGCCGTAAAATGAAACAAACAAACAAAAACCATATGTAAATTAGTTGAGCGGACAATTCATTTTCCAGTTTTCTATTTTTAGAAATGAAAGTCATTGATGCATTATGAATAGTTCTTGGGAAATTTTGTTGAAGAAGGCTTAACAGTAATATGATGCACTTTTACAAAATGAAACTACTAAAATACTAAGTTTGAATTGTTCTTTTAACAAAAATATAAAAGCTCAAGGTTTCTTTAAGAGGTATTGTGGAAAAAAGAAATAATTTTCTTGTTTACATTTCAGGGAACGCACTTCATAGAGTTGTGTTGTAAAAGAAATATTCCTTTGATATTTCTACAGAATATTACGGGTAAGTTAAGGAGATTGTCTGTGACAAAATTGTCACAAATAAAAGGTTTTAATCACTAGTTAAATAATAGATGACTGTAAGGCCATGCTCTTGACCAGTCTGTGTGCTTGACAATAAGGAAAAGGGGTATAACTCTGTAAAACTACCCGCCTATATGACTGAAATACTGTTGGGGAAAAGGCGTAAAATGAAACAAACAAACAAACAAAAGCCTGTACTTGGAAAAGTCAAGCTGTAAAGGGCATTCTTAGGGGCAGAATGATTTTGATCATTGATCTTTAGTTCAGCTTTCTAAAATATTAGGGACAGATATTGTACTCACCCAAGTGTCGGGGGTCTGTCTTTGGTTAAGTTTTGGTTGCAGGATTTATGATCTTTTGAAGATTTTTGTCTTAATCTTTTGTTTGTTTTTCCAGGTTTTATGGATTTTTAGCTCACCTGTGACAAAGTGAGCTTTTGTGATCGCTTTTCGTCCAATGGCGGGCCATAAACTTTTACTTTAAACAACATTTCCTCATAAACCACTAAGCCAATTTCATTCAAATTTCACAGGAATGTTCCTTTTGTGGTCACCTTTAAAAATTGTTCAAAGAATTAATAATTCCATGCAGAACTCTGGTTGCCATGGCTATCGTAAGAAAAAAACTAAAATTATCTTCTTTTAAAAAACTGAAAGAGTTAGAGCTTAGATTTTTGGTATGAAACATCTTCAAGTTTGTTCAAATAAAAGCCCTGGGGTCAAAAGTGGCCCCACCCCCGGGGGGTCATTGGTTTTCCTTGTATGTATAAAGTTAAAACTTAGAAAATCTTTTTTTACAAAAATTCAAGTAGCTACAGCTTAGATATTGAGCATGAAACATCTTCTAGTGAGTATCTTTCAAGTTTGTTCAAATAAAAAGCCCTGTGGTCAAAATTGGCCACATCCCAGAGTGTCATTGAATTTCCTTATATGTATATAGTAAAAACTTAAAAAGTCTTCTTTTAAAAAACCAAAATAGCAAGAGCTTAGATATTAAGCATGAAACCTCTTCTAGTGGGTGTCTACCAAGTCTGTTCAAATAAAAGCCCTGGGGTCGAAATTTTCCCCTTCCAGGGGGTCATTGATTTTCCTTATATATGTATGTTAAAAATGTAAAATGTCTTCTTTAAAAATACACAAAGAGCTAGAGTTTAGATACTAAGCATGAAACATCTTCTAGTGAGTGTCTACCAAGTTAGTTCAAATATAAGCCCTGAGGTTTAAATTGGCTCGGTGTGGGGGGGGGGGGGTAATTGTTTTTTCCCAGTATGTGTACAGTTAAAACATAAAAAATCTTCTTTTAAAACCTCTAAATAGCTAAAGCTAGCGGATGTTTATCAAATTTGTTCAAATAAATGCCCTTGGGTTAAAATTGGCCTCGCCTCGGGGGGCCTTTATACAGGTGAGCGATTTCAGGGCCATTGTGGCCCTCTTGTATGGATTTTTTAACTGTTTTCTCTTGTTTGATTGGTTACAGGTTTTATGGTGGGCAAAGATGCTGAAGCAGGTGGTATAGCCAAACATGGAGCTAAAATGGTCACCGCTGTTGCGTGTGCCAAAGTTCCAAAATTTACTGTGATAATTGGAGGGTCATATGGGGCAGGCAACTATGGAATGTGTGGACGTTCATACAGGTAAAGTCAGGCCCCGTTCACACAAAAAAAGATCAGGATCAGATGATCCTGATTTTATTTTCATTGTTTTCTGATTGTATTATGCTAGAATTTAATGGTACATATTTGCAAAATAAATAATTGCTTATTTGCAAAAAAACCAACCTTTGGGATAAAATCAACAAATATCAAAACAAGACAAAAATAATCAGATCAAAATGAGGATCAAGATCAAAATTTGGATCAACTGAAAAATGCCCATATCTTGTAAAAATAACAAATAAATTTATTCTAATGTTTCAGAAACATGATATTTCAAGTCCAGTTTTATCAAGTTAATACTAAATATTTAATCTATGAGGATAAATAATAGAGAATGTTTTGGTTTTTAAAATTTGATCCTGATCTTGATCCTGATGCTGAAATGTTTGTGAACACGTGGCCAGAGTCTTATTTACAAGGAATATACTAGACAAACCTGTATTACATTACAGTCAGCCTATAGTGCATTTCATATTGCTTTTTGCTGGTTTAAATGACAGTTGTAAGAATAGACCTTTTCCCTAGGGTAGCAATGACATAGTTAAACCCAGGGTGTGTCAAAGTAAGTATATAGAGCAATTCCTTTTGCATAGGATTATTGTTGTTAAACATTAAAAAAAATATTTGTAACTTTTTCACAGGGGTGAAATGATACAGTTAAACCCATATTGTGTTAAAAAGGACCCAGATTATGTGAAAAATGGGTTATTTTTCAATGAAGTAAACCCAATATTGCAATAAATTTGGAAAAAAAAATTAGTTTTCCAGACAATGCAATTCCCCAAATTTGGTATTGTGAAAAAAAAAGAAAAATTTAGAAAATTTTATTTTGAAAAAAATTTTTGTTTTTAAAATAAAAATTTAAAAATTTTTTTAAGAAAAATTACTGTTTAAATTTTCAGCCCGAATTTTAAACTGGGGGCCAAATGCTAAACGGTCAGGGGGGAGAGCAAGCAGTTTAATATTAAATAAATCGGACATCGTGGGGGAAACTGAAAAATTTTTTTTTATTTATACTTTATTGGGGATTACAGTGAGAGGGTTTAAAAGGGGGAAAATTTAAAATTGCGTATAAAGTATTCATACAATTTTTTAAATCTGATAATAAAGAATACATGAATTTTTCAAAATTATTTATTTAGGAAAGTAAAGCTATGATTTTCAATTGTGTTTTTATTAAAAAGTTCAGACATTTATTGTCCATATTATAATTACAAGAAGTTATACCATTACATAAAAAACTTTCTTTCACAGCTGTGGGTTTGAATATCACATGCCTTAAATAATGCACAGAAGGGTCCCTGGGATCTTCCTCCACCAGTAAAAGTTGCCATATGACCACTGCCATATAAGTTCACGCACAGAGGGGCACTTGAGGTCTTTTTCCCAAACTAGATATGGCGTGTTGGAAGGACATAAACCCCCCCCCCCCCCCCCCCCAAAAAAAAGAAAAACACGGCAAAAAAACGACAATCAAAACAACAACCTGCCCCCCCTAACACCCACACACAAAACAACAACAAAAGAACACCAAACAAACAGAATTAACAAACAAACAAAACAACAACCTCCCCCCCCAAAAAAAAAAAACAACAACAACAACAAAAAGACAAACAAACAAAACAACAACCTGGCCCCCCTAACACCCACACACAAAACAACAACAAAGAACATCAAACAAACAAAAACAACAAACAAACAAAACAACAACCTGCCCCCCTAACACCCACAAACAACAACAAAAAAAACAAAAAACAACAAACAAACAAAACAACAACCTGTCCTCCCCCACACACAAAACAACAAACAAACATAAGAAACAAAAAACAACAAACAAACATAACAACAACAATTTTGTTTTTTTCAGTGGACTGAGGAGGAAGAGAAAGCTTTGAAAGATCCTGTGATAAAAAAATATGAGATTGAAGGAAGTCCGTATTTCTCAAGTGCCAGGTAAAAAAACAAGTTGTTTTTATCACAAACCCATGCTGCTAATGCGACTCCTCAAAAATGGTATTGCAAGGCTGTGCATATATTTTGACTTGATGTCATTTGCGTTATACAAACATAGTGTAAAGACGTGCTAAATGTTAACCTTATACTATAGGGGCGTCATTGAAAAATGAATCTTTTTCACTTTAAACTCTATTTTGGGTGTGTGATAAATAGAATATTAAATTCCTGTAAGGTCATTACTGAATTTATTGAACTTGTTAAATAAAGTAATAGATCTGTCTGCTTGAGAGGGTTGCATAAGAAATTTTTTCATTAGTTCAAATAAATTCATATTTAACAAACCTTCAAAATTTTATTTTTTTTATTTTAAAAATCCTAGATTTTTATTAAACTTATAAATGGTGAAAAAAAAGAACCAAACAAACAAATTTCTAGCACCTTGTCTGCTATTCTTTATCATCCTGAAAAATACACTTAATATGAGCTGCGTCACGACAAAACCAACATAGTGCGTTTGTGACCAGCATGGATCCAAACCAGCCTGCGCATCCGCGAAGTCTGATCAGGATCCATGCTGTTCGCTTACAAGCCCTATTACAAGTAGAGAAACTGATAACAAACAGCATGGATCCTGATCAGACTGCGCGGATGCGTGGATCCTTGCTGGTGGCAAACCCACTATGTTGGTTTTGTCGTGGCGTGGCTCATATTTATTTCACAATTTGTAGAATGTAACCAATAAATTTCCAGCGTACACAGCATGTTTTTATGACCAAGGAATCGCAACGAGTGTCCAAGTATCTTTTAATAAAATGATACACAAGTAATTGGAAGAGAAAAGTATCAATTTTTTTTTTGTCGTAAATATAAAAATTTTGCACAGATACAAACAGATACTAAAAGGAGGCTATGCAAACAGTAGGAAACAGTATATTTCCTTTGATGCTATTCATTCAATGCTGTTATATTGCAACTTTTTCTCTTACATGGCTAAACTAACAAAACACAGAACAAATGAGTAGCCACTTTAATACCAAGACATTGAGCATGTTCATTCAAACTTTGTCTAGTCCATAACTTTGCCATTTATTTAGACATAGATTTTTAAAATAATTTTGCATAAATGTGTAGCAATATTCAGCAATAAGTCATGTGCAACACCTGCCTCTAAAGCTCAAAGGTCAAGGTCTCAATCAGATTCCAAGGGTCACATCGATATAACCAAAAAAAAAAAGTAAGCATAATATCACTTTAAAAGACAAATTTCTGCCTGTTTTAGTGGATTATACTACAATATTATAGTTATGTCTGAAAGTCTATTGTGGCATCGTCCATTGAAAATATGATCTATTCCCTTTAAATAAATGTTAAATCAATACTAACATGAAATATCAATGAATAACTTTTTGTTATGAACAAAATTATATAATGCTGCTAATAAATTTTAAAGTAGGATTTAACTTTTAAGCAATGTTTTTTTATGAATAAACCATATACATGTACACATAAATTATGGTTCTTTCATACAGGTATTTTGAAAAAAAGTCTTTTTACAAAATTCAAAATATAACTTTGTAAACTACAGTCAGCAGAAAAATAACTTTTAAATTTTAACCAAAAAATAAAAAAATCAATGATTTTGTCTGTTTTACCTACTGTATAAGTGGATATTTCTGCGTTTCGAAAAGTTAGTGAATATAAAATTCCAGACATTTCATTGGAGGAAATATTAGCAAATTGTGCAAGGGTACAATTTAGTGACATGTTCGTTAATACTTATATTATAGGAAATTTTAGCGATGTCTTCAATTAGTGTAAATCACCAGTATTTCCACGTCACTAACTTAACCATTTATACAGCAGTATATGGAACATGTTTATTTTCAGGTTATGGGATGATGGAGTAATAGATCCAGCGGACACGAGGAATATTCTTGGACTTTCATTAAGTGCTTCTCTTAACGCACCCAGGCAAAATACAACATTTGGTGTTTTCCGGATGTGAAGAGCGTGTAGTTATTGTCATGCACGGGTTTTTTTGTATGTTACTGCAGTTATAACAGTAATGAGATTAAGTTAGGACCACAAAATAATGTCCGTTATCTTTTTTTGTTGCGGGCATTTTATTTCATTTATTTTTTTTTTTGTGGGAGAACAACAACAGCAGCAGAAGAAATCGGACTAACTGACTTTACATGTAAACTGTTAATGACTTCATCAATGTGGTTTCTGATAATTACTACAGAGTACTTCATGTTGACTTTCTTTCTAGCTAGAATATTTTACATCTGGAAAAATTAATCAAAAAAATGTGGCATTTGTACAGTATTTAGACTGTAAAATTAAAAAGAAAAATTATTCTAATGAGGTATTCTACAAGCTGATGCTTTTAGTTACAGTCGATACAGTACTTAAGTGTATACAGTACTAACCACAGGGGTACGGCTCATTGAATGTTCACAAAATATGTGTAGGCAGACAACATTTATCCAAAGTCAGACATGAATTCTTAGTTCATCCCCATTAGTCAATATGTGTATACATATATATATACATATATATATATATATATATATATATATATAATATATATATATATATATATAGACAAGGGTAACAACTCCCATTACACAATATACATGTATACATATATTTATTGACAAGAGAAGCAACTCCCATAAGAAGATGTCTATAGTATACCGAATCAGAGTTTCCGCCTCACAGGGTTTTTTTTTTGTAGTCTTAACAACAGTATTCTTTTGTAACGGTAGAATTACGATAGATTGTTTTTTGTTTTAATTTTAACCATGTTAAATATCGTAGATTAGTCCATCTTTTTTGACATTAATCATTTTTAAGGACATTTTTAAAACATATAGTGACTGCATAGTGAACAGTGTAAACAATAATCAGCAGGCACTGACAATGTGATGGCTAAACTTTGGTCTGCACTGGTGGTAGAATCAGTTACAGACAGCAGACAAAGAATTAAAGTATGTGTTTCAGCCTCCCAGATGTAAACTGGGGTTTTTCTTTATAAAACTTTTCATAATGTATTTAAAGGGCTTTTATAATACTGCAGGTTTGTAACGTCGCTTTTCATTGGATAATCATGACGTTTATATAGTTTTACATACACATCTGCTGTCGATTTATGAAGAAGTCTTACTTTTTTCACACATAAAATGATGAGTGCTTTATTATAAATTTGTAGTAAAGATTGTTAAGGTTATATGGCCATGGAGAAACAGCTATTTGCAATATAAACCTCGACTAGCGGCTCAGGTTATATTCACAAATAGCCATTTATATAGGGCCATATAACCTGCCAACAATCTTTATAACTAATAATATAAATGCCAATTAAAACAATATGGCTTATAACAATATTCTGCTTATAACAAATGCTGTTACCAGGGTTACGATATCTGGATATTATGATATAAATTCAGCAGTCCCCTACATGTAAATATTGTTTTTCAGCAGAGTTAACTATATAGTGAACAAAGTCTTTGGTGTTCACAAAAATGTTAACTGTATAAATGTGTCTTGGGCCATTGTTTTGTAGTTATTCTGCCTTTTATTTTGGAATAAAATTAAAGAATTTTCTACCCTGATATGATCGAGTTATTTGACATGTTAGATGGCCCAATAAATACACTTGTGAGCTTATTTAAGGTGGCGCGATAGCTCAGTTGGTTAGACCACTGACTGTCACTCCTGAGGTTCCGGGTTCGATCCTGGGTAACACCCTTGGGATTTTTCAGAAACACTTTCAGTGTTTCCCACCTAACTAGAGGTTTACTGGTACGAAACCCAGGTAATCCTCGCATGTATCAGTGCTATACACTGGGCATGTAAAAGAACCAAGGAATCTATTCAATAAGAGCTAGGGACTGGTTCCCGGATTTCCTTGTATCTCATAGCTGTCTCTTGTGTCTGCTGAGGTAAGGACCCTACTGGAAATAAGTGCTTGCACTTTCGTAGGTTATCCTTGACCGCCCGGTCTAAAGAAAATCAATCAATTCAATCAATCTATAACCTGACGTTCTAGGTGAGGTTTATATTGCATACAAATGTATATGCACAGCCATATAACCTCTCAGAAAGAGCTTCATTACTTAAGATTGTAACTGAGTTCCTTTATTTGCCATTCATAAGCCAAGTGTTGTTATTTATATTTTTCAAAACAAAATTATATAAACTGTTAACTACTGATTGTTTGCTTTATCACATTCTTTTGCCACTTTTGTGACTTAAAAAACATCAATGCGCGATTATGCATATCATTTAATTGTAATGTCCCTGCGTTACACAGTCACTGTAAGTGCATCAATTAAGAAGTTACTCTATTTTACCGTGAAGAGTTCTTATCTTTCTTGGTTCAACCATATTTTATTCTTCACATAAGCATATTTACATAAATGATATTTACATATATATATATATGTTTTTTTTTGAGTTATTTTTTGATATGTGATGAATATAATATTATATTCACGAAGCTTCTTTTCTGAATTTATTGAACACATTGTATAGAATAACATTATTTAACTCATTCAATAATTTCAATATTGAACCTACATTTATTCAATATCCTCTGTTAGCCATTGCTGTTAAAGATATACAATGCTCAAATTTGATATTTGAAAATATTGATAATTTCAACACAGTCTCTTTTGTAATTATTATATGATAAAAAATCATTCATGGACTGCATACAAAGGAAATGTGCTATGTTTTTAACTCTATACTTTACACTATAGCTGGACACACTATGAATATATAGTGTCATTAAAAAAAACTGGCAGTTATTGTAAGAATGGACCAACTTTATTTGGCCTGTAATTGGAAACGTATCTTCCAATACTGCCAAATCATTATTATTCCTGGGCCACTAATATTTATGGTTTTTCATGCATATAAGACAATCCACTAATTTAAGATCCAAAGAAATTTCATTTTTTGTCTGCTGTAAGATTATTTTGCATCACATTTTTTACAATTTACCTTTTAGAAAAATAAACAGTCATTGAATTTTAAGAACAAAAAAAATGTTTCTTTGTGACAAGACCAAGAAAAATTTCATGCCAGTGAAATTAAGTGAATTGACAATACATATTTAGTACATTCATTTATTCAAATCTTAAGTAACAGCTTCATAGATAACAGATATTTTCTGTGATAAAAACCTTTTACTTAAAGATAAGCATAGAATGTCTTAGTTTTAACCCTAATGCCAACTATAAATTTTGGTGATTCAGTATGCCAGTAGATAAAGTAAGTTAATATATAGTAAGTATGGTCAATATGTAAACCATAGAATGCCCATCAGAAATTTGGTAAATTCATTTCTATGGAAAATATGATGAACTGTAGTTGTGAAATTATAGTAATAAATCTGAGTGCATGGGTCTTTTGAATTAGATATTTATTAATAATAATAATTATTTAGTAATTATGTGTTAATATGTACAAATGTAATAATTGTGTGTTTTCTATATAAGTAAATGAGCATTTGTACAAAAAAGTAAATGAAATAAATATTTTAGATATGGTACACTTGTTTTTATTTATTACATGCTTAATTTATTACATATTTGATATTACATGTAAATGATTAACCTTTTATTGGTGAGTAACTTATTTGAGTAAGTAGAAACAAATGAAATTTGTACCAAACAATGATGACACTGTCTGGTCAAAATGTTTGTGTACCATGATTATTTTGTACAATGATCACTTTTAAAAGGTTATTTCAAAAAGTCATATATTGGTCATACTGTACAATGGTCATAATGTACAATGGTCATACTATGCAATGGTCATACTGTACAATGGTCTTATTGTACAATGGTCGTACTGTAGAATGGTCGTACTGTACAATTGTCATACTGCACAATGGTCATACTGTACAATGGTCATACTGTACAATGGTCTTAATGTACAATGGTCATATTGTACAATGGTCATACTGTACAATGGACATACTGTACAACGGTCATACTGTACAACGTCATACTGTACAACGGTCATACTGTACAACGGTCATACTGTACAACGGTCATACTGCACAATGGTCATACTGTACAATTGTCATACTGTTCAATTGTCATACTGCACAATGGTCATACTGTACAATTGTCATACTGCACAATGGTCATACTGTACAATGGTCATACTGTACAATGGTCATACTGTACAACGGTCATACTGTACAATGGTCATACTGCACAATGGTCATACTGTACAATTGTCATACTGTTCAATTGTCACACTGCACAATGGTCATACTGTACAATGGTCATACTGTTCAATGGTCATACTGTACAAGGGTCATACTGTACAATGGTCATACTGTACAACGGTCATACTGTACAACGGTCATACCGTACAACGGTCATACTGTACAATTGTCATACTGTTCAATTGTCATACTGCACAATGGTCATACTGTACAATGGTCTTAATGTACAATGGTCATATTGTACAATGGTCATACTGTACAATGGACATACTGTACAACGGTCATACTGTACAAGGGTCATACTGTACAAGGGTCATACTGTTCAACGGTCATAATGTACAAGGGTCATAATGTACAATGGTCATAATGTACAATGGTCATACTGTACAACGGTCATACTGTACAACGGTCATACTGTACAACGGTCATACTGTACAACGGTCATAATGTACAAGGGTCATAATGTACAAGGGTCATACTGTACAATGGTCATAATGTACAATGGCCATACTGTACAACGGTCATACTGTACAACGGTCATACTGTCCAATGGTCATACTGTACAATGGCCATACTGTACAATGGTCATACTGTACAACGGTCATACTGTACAATGGTCATAATGTACAATGGCCATACTGTACAACGGTCATACTGTACAATGGTCATACTGTACAACAGTCATACTGTACAATGGTCATACTGTACAATGGTCATACTGTACATCGGTCATATTGTACAATGGTCATACTGTACAATGGCCATATACTGTACAACGGTCATATTGTACAATGTACATAGTTTACAATGGTCATACTGTACAACGGTCATATTGTACAATGTACATAGTTTACAATGGTCATACTGTACAACGGTCATATTGTACAATGTACATAGTTTACAATGGTCATACTGTACAATGGTCATATTGTACAACGGTCATATTGTACAATGTACATAGTTTACAATGGTCATACTGTACAACGGTCATATTGTACAATGTACATAGTTTACAATGGTCATACTGTACAACGGTCATATTGTACAATGTACATAGTTTACAGTGGTCATACTGTACAATGGTCATACTGTACAACGGTCATATTGTACAATGTACATAGTTTACAATGGTCATACTGTACAACGGTCATATTGTACAATGTACATAGTTTACAATGGTCATACTGTACAATGGTCATATTGTACAACGGTCATATTGTACAATGTACATAGTTAACAATGGTCATACTGTACAATGGTCGACGTCATACTGTACAAGGGTCATACTGTACAATGTTTATTCTGTACAATGAATATACGGTTCATAGTACATGGACATGTGGTTATGTCATTCTTAACTCTTTCCTACACAATGCAATCGAGCTTTTCGTTCTTTTCATGCCGTTTTTTATTCTGGCGTTATTCGTTTCTTATAAATGTAAAGTCGTGTTTGGATTTAAATAATATAAGAAACCGCCTTAGTTCCGATCGGCTCGGAAAACTATGGCAAAAGCTTCCCTAACTTATACCAAGGTCTTCCAAATAGAATGGTCTGGAGTCTGACCAATTTTACAAAAAAGATATCTCGGCTGAGTCACGTCATTAGGCCATTTGAAAGACCCTGTCTATACCAAACGGTACAATAGTCTTTTTCTGAATAGAATAATACACACATACACACACAAATAACAACAATATATTGATAACACTCCATGATTTATTTAACAAATTAAACAACTAAATACTCTGTCATGTCAGAGATATTGGTAAATATATATATCTGGCCATATACAGGAAATGAGGAAAAAGGCAAATGTCGTGACATGTTTTTTCAAAGTCTTGTACACTTTACGTCGCTTAGAGTTGTTTATTTCTTGCCAGCTGAAAATACAAAATAAAGATGTGTTACATGAACGAGCGTAGTCTTCGTATTAGGTAAATAAATAAAGCCTATGACGGCAGATCATTGACCGGAAGTAGCAGAAGACACGATGCATATAGTCTTGCAAGGCATGGTACAAATTTCATATATATGTGGTTATATAGAGTTCACATAGATTCACATGAGAATATTTTTATAAGTTTTTTTTTTCTTTTAATTTTCTGTAGGTTTTAATTATTTTATCTTGCCGATTTATCACGTGTTTAGGTCTGTTTTCCTAGATAACCAACTGGATTTTTACCAGTTTCTTCCAAAGTGACCGACTACTTATCACACATAGTTTCTGAATCACAAATGACCATTACACTATCAATGTCCGAGATCGATGATTTTTAAAACAGCTGTAAGAGACAAATGATCATAAGACTCAATGTCCTATATTACTTGTCACGGACAAATTAATTACTCCCCGTCCGAGAATCGAACCAGCGTCCGATCAATGCGATCCCTATTGAGCTTAGTGAACCAACTCTTCTGAAGTATCATTGGATATACAAAGTTCATTTTCCCAGTACATCTAGTTTCTTACGTTAAGAAAATACTTTACTTTTTCACTGATGACTTTCAGCATTACAATCCCTTAAATTCGAGCACAAATAAAATGAGTAAAACTTATTGATTGATTTACTTATAACAAAGACAGGTAAGCTGTATACATGTAGATGTTTACTTACTTGGACATGTACAGATTGGACACCAGTTTGCGTCGAATGTTGCACATCCATTTGTTGCCGGACAGTCCGCTGGGAAATCAGGACAAATACCTAGAAACATAATTCTGTTTGTTATCTTGATCTGTTAAAAAAGTTATTGAAATGGCATATGCAAATGATGATGGTAGTGTACTTTGTAGTTTCATTTCAGAAAGCAGTGGTACACGGCGAATGATCGTGGAAAGGATTCCATAATCAATTACATGTACAACGAAACTGTCTAGTACCGTCCGGGAATCGAATTCGGGTAGCCTGATTCACAGTCCATTAACGCTCAACCATTTGAGCTAACAGGCTAGTGTTTATCTATTTAAAGTCAACTTGCATGGCAGACCACTTTTGTATAATTGTATATGTATCATGCTTTTAAATCTTACCGTAAATTGTTTACAATATTGTTTAAAAATCATTCAAGAGCATGTAACAAGTAAGAGAATTGAACTCTTTTTGGTAATAAGTTTGCTTTTGGGTCAATTCCATTATTCGATTGTAGGTCATAGGTACATTGTATAGTATGTCTAAAGTTCGTTAACACTAAATGCAATACATGTATGTGATTAATCAAATTTTATTGCTTTGGATAAGCATTCTTTAAACAAATATTTTCCTTGCATGTTTTGTAACATATATTAATCCTATAACAAATATTATCTATACTTGTATGTTTTCCTACTAGTATACTTTCTTTTATCATATTTTCCTACTTGTATGTTATTCTTATGTCATATTTTCCTACTTGTATGTTTACTTCTACATTGTACTTGTATGTTTTCTAAGATTATCAATAACGTCAAGTATTATTTACCATCCCATGTAGTTGTAGGGCCCTGAGCAGTTGTTGTAGTTGTCGGTCCCTGTGTGGTTGATACTGATACAACAGTTGGTTTTGTCATGTGCGCGGGTGCTGTTGGATTTGTCATGTGCGCGGGTGCTGTTGGATTTGTCATGTGCGGTGGTGCTGTCGGTTTTGTCATGTGTTGTGGCGCTGTCGGTTTTGTCATGTGCGGCGGCGCTGTTGGATTTGTCATGTGTTGGCTGGAGCTGGAAATTGAAAACAGAATAGAAAGCCATTTAGAGGCTGAATGCCTTGAATTGTCGCTTACTAGTATTTTAACTTTTCAAGATTATATGTATATAAGATATATTGGATTTCATAAAATGAAATATGATCGCTGTAGCATGTCACTTTACCTAGAATTGTTCGACTGCTGCCCGGACTGCTGCGATCCCGACTGGTGTGTGCTGGAGGAGTGTGAACCAGTCTGATGGGAGGAGCTAGAGTGGGAGGAACTGGAATGGGAGGAGCTAGATTTCTTTGTGGTAGGCGCATGCGTAGTCGTTGGTTTTGTTGTTGTTGTTGTTGTTGTTGCTTCAGAGAAATAAACATGAATGGTTACTAACAATGTGAATTCGTTACAAAATTCAAGTGAACTCATTTTAACTTGACTGTTTCATATAAATTTTATCAGAAAAAAAATACAAGTACTATCTACAAATTCCGAATGTTTAATAACTCGAAACGCAATCAACTACATATATAAAGAGCAGAAAAAATAAGGCATTGCGAACCTTAATACTGGGAATTGCGCTTGAAATAATCAAACTGCGCTTGAAATGAACAATTGCGCTTGAAATGAACAAATCGCGCTTGAAATGAGCAAATTGCGCTTGAAATGAGCAACATTTTCACAGATTCAATAAAAACGAGATAGGTTTAAATTAGGTTTCGTTTTGCCTAATTTCAACTGTGGCTTAAATCTTAAAGCACGGATTTATATTGTAATGTAAATCCGTGCTTAAAGGCACTCCACTGAGGGTTTTTGTTTTGACATATGGAATATTTTTTCGAGATTTATTGCATCAATTGATGTAGGTCTTAACTAGTAACATGTGTACATAATTTTAGACCATTCTCTCACTCTGTGTTCCACGAATAATGGTTTTTATTTTGCAAAAATGACACACAATAAAAAAAAAGGAAAACATTGCAACGCTTTTCACTCAAACTGAGATGAAGACTTGAGTTTGTTTCTTTATTATCTTTTGCTGACTTTTTCATTTTAAGTGCATCATTTGTTATACGCAAGAATTTCAAAAGTAATGTTTTGAGGCTTTTTGGCTGAAGTGGAGCTCTTTTAGACAATAATATAACCCACTTTGAAAAACTCGAACATTCACATTTCACAGTATTTCTTACATACGTGCGTACCGGTATTTTAATTTAGTTACATGATATTTTCAGTGTATTATCAACAATTCTGTGAACAAAAAGAAAAACGTATTTTGTTGGTTCACTTTATAGCAATAAAACAAAAGTGGTCACAAAATAATTCACGCGATGGGCATTTATAAACAGTGCACATCATAATTAAAGGAACGAAACATTACTTTAATCATTTAATTGAATCACAGTGTAACCTTTGTAGAACGATCCTCGTTGGTAGAGTAATAATCGTTTTTCCAACAACAAAAATCAAAACTTTCAAAACTAATAAGCCTCCCTATAACAACACTTCTAGGCAACAAAAAAACCCTCTGGCTTTCAAATGGTGCTGTCCTGTAAATGTTGTTTCTACTGTATAGGGAAGTTATTATAAGAACTTATCGATATGTGAGTGTATCGTCGATATATATGACATCCGATATCAATATATTGCCAATATGCTTTATACTGAGCTAATGACATTTCGAGTTAATATGAGTACGAAAATGAAAATGAACACACAGAATGAAAAAAAACACACAAACAAACAAGTAAGAAATGCATTTATAAACGAAAAGTTATCTGTAAAAGGAACTTACCTTTTGTAGTTGTAGTGGTTGGTTTTTGTGTTGTTGGTTTGTGTGTGGTAGTGGGTTTATGTGTTCTAGCTTTGTGTGTGGTAGTAGGTTTTTGTGTTGTAGGTTTGTGAGTTGTTGGTTTATGTGTAATAGTTGGTTTATGTGTTGTTGCGACCTTTGCCGCCTTAGTTGTACGATGATGGTTATTATTGTGATGATGCGTTCTCTTCGTTGTAAATGATGACGTAGATTGATTGCTGGTCTGGTTACTGGTGCTACTTGACGAAGAATGACTTCCGGATTGGTTACTGCCGGAAGAATGACTTGCAGATTTAGCGGTGGTTGCGGGTTGCTTTGTAGTGTGATGGTGGTGACTAGCAGTGCTGGCAGCAGATTTAGCGGTAGTAGCGGGTTGTTTTGTGGTGTGGTGGCGGTGACTAGCTGTACTGCCAGCAGTGGAGGCGGCAGTACTTTGGGCTATATTTTAAAATAGATATAAGGTTAAGTGTAAAAACTTATTTACATGTATTTAAAATCATTAATTCAACCATTATTTTGTGATTTCGTATACCTTTTTTCACTTACTATATGATTTAACATTGATTTCTTAGAAAACAATTTAGCCGTTGATGGCCGTGTGATAAAGGTTCCATGCGAACCCAAATTGACCATTGAAAAACTTGTTATACAAAGGTACATTATTCATCAACATTTTGATTATTTGATATTTTTATTTCTGAAATCAGAGGATTACCTAGAAGAGAGACCTACCAGAGTGTTGTCCACTTTGTGACGAGGACGAAGAATGGGATGTTGAGCTTGTGGAGTTTGACCCTGTATTGTTTGACCCTTGTTGACCACTACCGTGTGTTCCGTTGTGTCCACTTCCGGACGTTCCTTGCAAAATTTATTTCATTACGGTGAATTTTGGTTAGTTGTGATATATCATTGATGATGATGATGATGATATAGAATGATATAGAATGATGATTTATATTATTATTATAATGATGATGATGATTATTTTATTTTATGCTTTTCAGTGGATTACTGATTTATCCGTGAAAATTATATTTGGTAATTTCACAGTGAAAATTATCAAAATATAATTTCACTTTTTTCAATGACGAAACTACTTTTTTAAGATTTTCCCCATGTGGTACCTCAATTTTATTTTTGCTGACAATTCTGACAATGTCAGGCTGTTTAAAGAAAAAGGAAAGCTGAAATTGATAAATACCTTAAACGTCAAAAGTAATAAAAAGAAGAAAACTTACTTCTGTTCATTCAAATTCCAATCACCAAATTTCGTCTCTAAATTTTTTGTTTCATTTTTACAGTCTGAAAAATACATTCCTTCCACATGCAAACTGCTCTTGATGACATTTGGGCATATTAAAGTATCCTACGAGTAATAACTGCCGTATGCTTTATGAAAAATTGAAAAGCAATGACAGCTACAGCTCGTAGAACAAGTAAACCAACCCAGCGTTCCGAGCAAGTTCCAAGTCATCCATTTTCATAGCTGCTTTTTTCATGTTTTCACATCTGTCAACACTTAATTTTTGTCTGTTTCAATCCTCAAATATGTTTTCTTTCTTTTAAAAAGGTGTATGACTAACAATTCCAAATGATATCCCTCTGAATCAAACACAAATTATTTTCCTCCCGTGAAATACACAACTTTAAAAAATGGCTGCCGCTTACATTTAACAAAGCCAGGTCTAATATAAATTCGCAGTAGGTAACAGAAATATGGATGGATGGTTGGAATTTTCTCCTACACGAATTGTTTGTTTTTATTATTAAAACAAGCGATCATTCATATTTTTTAAACAAAATAAATAATATCACTGTCATTTAATGTTGATTGTCGGACTTATTTTTCAGCTCAAGACTTCTTGTTTTTAATGAGAAATTCTCACGAAATGGGGCTCTCAATGGGGAAACAGATTTTAATATTTATGTTTATATTATGGAAATTTCGTTTAAACTTGTTTTTTAGCATAAAATAAAAAGAAAATTTGTTTGTTTGTTGTGTAAGATGTAATTTTATTTCATCTCGTGAACTTTAAAAACAGTATTCTCACTCGTGGCTACGCCACTCGTGAGAATACTGTTTTTAAAGCCCACTCGATGAAATAAAATTTCATCTTACACACAAACAAACAAATATCCTCTATATCACTTTAATTATTATGATATAAATAGTGATGAAGATGATGATGATAATAATAATGATAATGATAATAATAAAAAATGTAATAACAAAAGACACTTAAAACCTTGTGCTGCGACATTTTTTGGATAAATGTGTATAAAATGAATATAAACCTATAACTGTACAGCAAGATTTACAATTTCTTATGATGAACAACCAACTTCTAAATATGAGATGCATGAATATACATGTAAGTTATTGTGCCCCCCCCTTATACATAACAGAACAGAACAAATATTTTATTTAAATTAGGCATTACAAGCTTATCGTCGTTAAACAATGAAAAGAAAAAGAACATGCATTTATTTTGGTATGACATGGAAGATTTTACATATGATATATTAATATTTATTTCCTTATCACATATATTCTGAGACTGTAACAAAAGAAAAAATATATTTATATATACACAAAAGTTAAGTGGAAAAAAATTACATAAAAAGGGATGAATACAGATTGAGAACGACATTTATAATATAACATTAGTGAATCCCTCAATTTGAAAGCTTTGACACAATATAGAGCCATTTAAAAAAAATCTTCTAATTACTACTTTGCATCAATGACATATACTTAATTATATTTGTGTTGATAGAATATTTATTTCATTAACACATATATCCTGAGAATTTAACAAAGGAAAAAAATATATTTATATATACACGAAAGTTACAAGGAAAAAAAGAACAAAAAAAAGGAATTAATACAGATTGAGAACGGCATTTATTTTATTACAATAGTGAATCCCTTAATTTGAAAGCTTTGAAACAATACAGACCTTTTTTAAAAAAAAAACAACTTCTTATTACTACTTTCCATTAATGATATAAACTTAACTATATGTGTGTGGGTATAATAATACCTGGGTATATAAAGTCTTCGTTTAAACCTGCTTACTTGTACTTCAAAATATAAATCTTAGCTATCACCAATTAGAAAATCATTTACACTACATGTATTTACAATGCACAGGGCAATAGCAATATTCTGGATAAAGGTTAAACAACTTGATAGTCTGACATCATCTATTACTGCTTAAATTTGATGTTCAAAATTGTAACATTAATTTTGATTGGTTGATAATTTAATAGAGGTTTGTTACAAGAATTGTTAGTGGTTGTAAGAAAGTATTTAAATGTAACAAACCTCATTACATTTATCAATAGTATTTCTATGTTAGTTATTACAAGTAAAATGGTTTACTGCGGTGAACATTTTAATGATATAAAGATATTTCATTTAACTATTTTCAACATTATTTTTTTATTCATTTTATTTATTTTTTTATTATTATTTTTTTTTTTTTTGGGGGGGGGGGGGTGAATAGATAAACTATATCAGGAATATAGCTGACAATTGAATAATTAAACGATCAATATATAGAAGAAGCTAGGTCTTTAGAAAATGGTGACCGTTGAAGACCGGAGAAGGTCGAACAAAAAAAAAACAATTATTTCTTTTTAAGAAAATGATTAAATAGGCCTATACCATTTTATGAATAATTCCGAGCAAAAAATAAATAAAGTAAACACCCAAGTTTACGCAGAAAATATCTCTATTTATTATGGCAGATGCCACTACGAATATTTTGATTTTGTAGATTTTCAGTATAAACAATTTATTTTTTTTATAAAATTTGAGATAGATATTAACGAAACATTGATCAATTTCAAACACATCATGTAAGTTTTCCCACCTTAAACGGTAAAATAATTAGAGAAAATTAGAAATATCACGTAATAGTTTTTTGTCTTAATTAGGTGTAATTCGGACTAATTCCCTACAGGTAAATCCGTAACGTACCGGCAAACGGTATTTAGCTAGGTTTTCGAAAAGGTCAATTAACCAATCATGTACGGTTTACAGATCACATGCTCCTCCATGTACCGAAAACAGGTCACGTGCTCCTCCATGCCTCAAAAGTTAAACGCGTACCAATACCCTGCGGTCTCCAGGGTAATGACAAAACTATTTCATAAAGTTTATAATTGAGGTTTATTATATTTATTTTATCAATAAATATGATTAAGAATAAAACAAATCTGAATAAATATTAAATATATCCAGAGATATTTGGTATTTTAATTTGCACTATAAAAAGCGTATACAATTTGAAAAACGGGTTTGACTAGAAAAGTAAATTATGATTGGTTGAAAAGTGTCACGTGTATAAACAGATCAAAGATTAGTTATTGAAAACATCGGGAAAATCTACGGAGTACAAGTCGGGTCATGATTTACAAATAAACAAAACAACGGAATCCATTTATGATATTTTTACCCTACGAAATACTCCCCCTGCTTCGGAAAAGGCGTCCCGACATTTAATACGCGAAATGAATAATGGCATTTTGCATCAATAAAAACAACAGAATACATTTATGATATTTTAACCCTACGACAAATAGTGATTGGTTCATTCAAATGATTGGTTGATTTAAAGAAATGTTACCTGATGTATGATTGGATCCTGACGTGCCGGATGTAGAATTTTGAGACTTGCTGGTTAATGATGACGAGCTTGAATCTGCAAATTAATTAATTGTTAATAGACAGTAAATTATCCGAACCCGGAGAAGTACGAAAATAACCGGAACTTTCCGAAAACAATACGTACAACATCTAGTAATAAATGTATATACGGCATAGCTGGTTATTGTAATAGTCGGTATTTAAAGTGAATTGGTCTAAAAATGAAAATTTCGGATCATGTTTATCAAATTTACCAATAACAGCTTCACATACAAAGTATAATTATTTTATTGTTTGTTATTTTGTCTGATATATTAAATATCATTGTCGGGTAAGATGTACGGAATTATTCTTAAACAGCTGTTCAGTTGATGTCATACATATTTTATAATCAACCGTAGAGAAATGAGCGTTCGCGCGTTCTTAATTATAAGATTCACTGTAACTGCATAAACTTGTAGAGTTTGTAGTAAATAAGAATCTTACTTGAGAAGTTGTTGGAGCTTCCAGAATGGCCGCCATGGTGTCCACCGGAACCTGCCGTACTGTTATGACCGGAAGTACTCTGGCTGCTAGAGTGTGTGGAAGTTGTACTAGAGGAGCTGTTTCCACCATAGGATGAAGAGGAACTGTTGTGACCTCCGTGCCACCCACCAGCACTTTTATTTCCATCAACAACTGTAGGCAAATATTCATGATACTATATGAACTTTGTACAATTATTGTCATGTTCTGAACTTCTGATTTACTTTAATAATACTTCTTAAGCTCTATGATACAACTCAAAGAAATGCCCGAACGCATCGCTGTTGATGTTTTATTATTGTGTCACGTGTTTTTTGTTGTTTTTTTTTTGCAACATGCACTGTTTTGACTATCAAGGACTGTAACTTTAATTCTTAATTATAATATAGGATATGTGAATTATGAATTTCATCATAATTTTCAGAATTTTCATCAATAGCTTATGTTCATTAAAAAAAAATATTATGATTTGCCGTTTAACATCATTCACTTCTTCAAGCGCCGAAACCGCAAACAAACTGTTAAAAAAGTTAGACGCAAAAATCTTGTAAATAATAAATTTAACTGATTAATATTTCTCCGAATTTGTTCAATATATATATAAAAAAGCACCTTTATTTGAAATGGCCTACTTTTGTCACATTTAAAATTGAAATATCTAAATTTACTTTCACGAAAATATAGGAAGAGTCGATCAAGCGATATAATTATATTGCTGATCATATGATTTCCAAAAATAGAACAAATAATTCTAAAGATAGAAAAGAATTTCTAAAAATAGAAAAATATATGTCTTAAAATAGACAAAATATTTCTAGAAATAAAAAAATATTTCTAAATAGATAAAAGAATATCTAAAAATAAAAAAATATTTCTAAAAATAGAACTTTTTTTTTCTTCTAAAAATAGAAAATAATAACCTTTCATATATTGGTCTATGACGTGGCCTTTTCTGGTCACAGTTGTCTCAATAGTCCTGTTCACCTCGACACCATCAGCTTTTGTTATGTTTGTGGTGACCGTTGTTTCTTTATCCCCTTCCGTTGTTACAGTTGTGGACGATTCGTACTCAATCAGTGGGCCTTTCGTCCAACTTTTAGAATATACATTGTACTCGAGATAATAATGTGAAAGCAAATTTAAACGAGATCTGTATTGTTTTATTTATTTACTTATTTATTTATTTATTTATTTATTTATTTATTTATTGGCTTTATATTAACTTTGAAAGTTATATTCTTCACACAAAAAATATATACATAATACTTGATTAGATTACCGACGCAAAATATTTAAAAAAAATCGATAAGAAACGTGCATTAAATACAGCATATTTAAGTTTTTTCTATAAAACAGGATTTATTTTTATTGAGTGGTATGAAAATAAATATTTCATATTTTCATCGAGTGGTATGAAAATAAATATTTCATAAGTGCTGGTAGCCACGAGAGAAATGTGATAATTTATAGTAATATTCGGAAAATGAAAATACGCATTTTATTTCATCAATATTTCTCAACATTTCATTAATTAGAATATAATATAGAGATTCTCTGGTACATCTCGTCTCGCATTTGATGATTTATTGCACTATATGAAAGGTAAATAAGCCAACAAGTAATAACAAATGACTTGTGTATATATCAAAGAAGAATAGAAACACATTTACACTTACCTACTAGATGAGTTTTGTGAACCTGCTTGGTTTCCACTCTGTGATTTACTTTGATTTCCTAAAACAACACAAAATGTTAAGCAATTTTTAACCACCAGTCAAACCCAATACAATACAGCAATGACATTAGGGGAAAAACAACATCAACAACAACAACAACAAAAATTCATGGTATGTGCCATCTTAAAACTTGTACGCTTCTAATATCTTATTTTTGGAAATGGTATAATGTTCCTATTATCATATGAGGAAGCTATCCAGCTAAATTACAAAACGTCGGTGGTTCTACTCAGGAGCCCGATCTTGCCTGAAAAAAAAAATTGCACGAATGCCGTCCGAGTTCATCCTTCATCAGCAAAGCTTGAAAGTAGCTATATGACCTATACTGTGTTTTTACGACAAGAAATTGTTCTTGTATGAAGGATTTAAAGGTTTTATAAGTTATAACCCATATATACCTTGCTTGGTAAGGGTTTACATATAAATATTTAAAACCTGTGGAAAGTCTTTTTGTCTCATTGCTTTGGTTCAAATTAAATTTATTCATCATATATTTTCTCTTTATTATAAATGCCGCATTTCAGTTGCCAAAAATAACGTGAATGAGTTTTAATTATCTAATCTAGATTAGAGCCCGGTGTAAAACACTAATACATAGTACCCTTAGTTGTAGGGTCTCGTCCGTTAGGTCATTAGTCATTATTAATTAATGTCCTGCATCCATATTTCGCAATAACATTAATTTAACGGTTTTAATCCAATCGAATTCGACGTTACAAAGGTGCCGTATTATGTAAGAAATCATATAAACTTTACAATTATCTAATTGAATTCGGCGTTACAAAAAGAAGATATTTTAAAAAATTGAAAATGTTACGATTATCCAATGAAATTGGCTGTTACAAACATGCAGCATTTAATAAATCACGCGGCTAGGTCACTTTATTATATATACATGTAATATCTTAAATCGCCCTAATGGCGACAGTTTTTTATTTTTTCATATTCACCTGACGAGCTAGCTGTGGATGATGCTTTGGCTGCTGCTGTTGTTGTCGGCTTCTTTGTTGTTGTTGTTGCTTTTGTAGTAGTCGTAGTGGTTGCTGTTGTTGTCGTTGCTAAAGTAGTAAGAATTTTCTTTTTTGTCATTTTTTATGAAAGAAATGAAAAAAAAGCAAAACTTAAGGAGTCAAAACTTGTTACTGACACGAAAAGAACTGAAATTTAATAAATAAATAAATAAATAAATAAATAAATAAATAAATAAATAAATAAATAAATAAATAAATAAATAAATAAATAAATAAATAAATAAATTAATAAATAAAATAGATATATAAAGAAATAAATATATATTTAAAAAAAAACGTGATCTAGAAATAAATTCAACTTACGTGTCGTTGTTGTCGTGGTAGGCCGAGTGGTTGACGTTGTCGTCTTCGTGGTAGTGGTGGTTGGCTGTGTAGAAGTTGTTGACGTCGGCTGTGTTGTTGTTGTCGTCATCGATGGCGTTGTCGTTTCATGTTTAGCACAATTGCATGGCTCATGAATAATCTTGACTTGTGGGGGTGGAGCTGTTGCACACGACGGAGCGGCTACTGCAAGTCAAAGATTATAGAGCCATTATACCATATTTGGGAGAATTAAAGTCGTTAAATGCCGATGATAATCATATTGTATCCTCTTGATGGCGGCTCATATTGGATTGGTATTTGTGATTTTTCACGCCCAGTATGTTTAAAATTTTGACAACGTATCATTTCTTATTCATTTAATAGTTTAATTTGGAATATTGCACATGCACCTGTCACCTATGTCAAAAACCCTAAATTTAATTCTAAATACTAATTGGTGTTTAATCAAATTTATGAAATAACTGAAGGTCGAGTATACATCCGCGATTAAATCCCTAAAGTTTGGTTTCTTTAGTAAAATGATTGAGGTCACTTACTACAATGAATATTCTCATCGCTTTCCTTGGTTCGAATTCCGGTACAGTTTTAGAATTTTCTTGCGCAAAAAGTTTATGGAAGGTTGGCGGATCTACCCAGTTCCCAGAAACCCACTCGTTTCTGAAGTCAGTGCACGAAAGAACTCTTGGTGTCTTCTTTAACCGATAGACAACTGAAAGTCACCAAGTGACCTTTACAGCCTAGGTGTGACCACACCGACAGTATAGTCTTAGGTGTGACCACAGTACCTTTGGCTCCCTCACCGCGACCGAGTGGTTTAGGTCGTTGACTTCAAACGACTTGCCCCTTACAGATGTGGGGTTAGATTCCCGACAGGGCATTTGCATTATTTCATGTGAGAAAGTTATCCAGCTAGCATGCAGAACTTCTGTGGTTTAACTCATGTGCACGTTCGATCTGAAATGATGCATGCAAGTGGCAACCGAGATCTTCAGTTACTAGTAAAGCTGAAAAGTCACCATACAACCTGTACTGTGCTGGTGCGTCGTAAACAAAGCGTGACTACACCGAAATTATTTGTCAGATAGTTGTTGTATAGAAGCTTACCTTTAGTTAAGCACATTTTACACGAGTAACAACCGTGCTCATCTAGTGTTGTACAGTGACTCATCGGCTGATAGGTGGTCCAGTCTTGTGTCACAGCAGCTGCAATCAAAGCAAAAAATCAAATCTGAAAAATGTCGCCTGTAAAAAAAAATCAAGCACTGAATTCTTATTTATATATAGATTGGTAAAACAGTTTCGTTTAAGCTATAAATAGAAGAGGAAAAAAAAAAGAAAATAGATGTTTACATCGTTAAATAAGTGTTTATGTATAAAAAGATTATTGTTTTATGTCCTGCATTAACCCTTTCGCTGCCAGAGGGTTATTCATTAATTGATCACCTATTTGCCAGAAGGTTTTCTAAGAAATTACTATATTATCTATTAATATTATTATCATTATTTGTTATTAGTATTAGAATAATTATATATGTTTCCAAATCTGCTAGTATAATAATAATTATTGTCGATGGTATAATTATCTATATATTTATTATGATTATTATTTTAATTATATTTATTATAATTATTATTATTATTACGATTATAGAAACGGCAAAAGCCGTCCATATGGCAAATACGCCGAAATATGGCAGTGAAAGGGTTAATATGCTTATTTATTGACTATCCTATAAATATCCTTTGGTTCAACTGATAAAAAGTGTGGCGCAGTCTTTTTATATTTTAAGAAATTGTAAAATTTTATCCTAGAAATGTTGTCACTTTCATTATCAATCATTGATCAGTGACCATTATAATAGTCAATATCTTTCAGTATATAGCCAATTCAATTCAACTCAAAATTGAAAAAAATGACCAAAATGTCATAAAAATGACTGAGATCAGTAGCGGGTATTTCTACTGAAAAAAAAATGTGTTTTAATTTCATGAAATAGGTTAGGTAATATTCGTTAATTGTACATTATACATGTAATTTTATTTATTTTTATAGAAAAGTAGACACTTTTTTAAGAGAATATTTCTGTTTCCAAGAGCTATTATCATTATTCTTATAATTGTTATTCATTTAATTATTATTCTTATATTCTTTTTTGTGCCTTTCTTCGCACAGTTATACATATATTAAGCTAACTTCTACTTAAATCAGTTAATATGATACTGAATTGAACTGACTGTAAAAGAACACCGTTTTACTTACACGCTGTGACCACAAGTAAACCAGCCACCCATATTAATCCGTAAAAAGTCATGTTTAACTGTAACAGCTAGACACTAACAATACCTTCACAAACCAACAACGTTTGTATTTAAGGTTTTTTCGACAATGACCTTTTAAACATAGGGCTATCAATATGATGCAGATATCAAAAAATATCTTGTAAATATCACAACCTTATCATTTCACGGGACACCGTTTCATCGATAATTATTGATAGACACGCTGCTACCGAAAAAAACATCTGCCATACCGTAGACCTTTAACAGCGATAAATACCAATCACCACTGTTTTTCAACTTTTGGTTTGATGACAACTGCACCGAACGAACTTTTAGTACAAGTTTTAAAAATGCGCACTAAAGTTGTTAGTAGTTTTGAATTGTTTTTGTATTTTAAAGGTTTTTAAAAAGAGAAAAAAAATCGTTTGGTGTAATTTCTTTCGATTTAGAAGAAATATAATTAATTTATTTTTGTAAGCAAACAAAAGTTTTCCAAAGTGCACTTTCATCACACGATGTTGATATATTCGGGTGATTTCTCACGTGTCTATGATACCAGAACTTTCACCAAAAGTTCGGCTGAGGCCGGGTAGCAAATTTACAAGAAGGTGCATCATTGCAAAAAAATGTGTCTTTAAAGGGACACCACTGGGTTTTTTTAGACATGACGGGACTGGAAATATTTTTTTTTCGAGATTTATGTTCCATTTAATGAAGGTCTAGAACAATGACTTGTGTGCAAAACTTTAGATCGTTCACTCCCTCCGTTTTACCAAAATAATCATACTAATTGTGAAAAGATGACCGTAAATTGAGAACCGTTACCACCACGGACTTTAATTGGCAAAATAAATCAGTGGTAGAAACGTTTCACTCAAATCGAGCTAAGCATAGAGCAAAATGCGATTTTCATTTTATTTCTGAGTATAATTCTTATATTTTTTTTTTTTGCATGTCGTTCTGTTATAAGTGCCCCAGGTGGTCTTTGTAAGAAATTTATTGTGCTTTTAAACAATAATGGAGTTCCTTTAAGATACAATTGCACTGTCTTTTGTTAGGAAACAAGAAACACATCAGTATTAATTTAGAAGATACTTGAACGAATTTTTTCTTTTTTAATTATATTTAGACAAAATCAATTGTAAAAAAATGCAAAAAGTTGATTGTACAGAAAATCAAACTTGACCTAATTACGGGTCAATGCAGCAATACATACAATCACTGAAATCTTTCGGAATAACTTTAAATTACCAAAAATATCCTAATGAAGAGGCATAACTCCTTTAGGATGTCCTAATGAAGGGGCATAACTCCATTAAAATTTTACTAATGTAGAGGCATAACTCCATTAAAATTTTACTAATGTAGAGGCATAACTCCATTAAAATTTTACTAATGTAGAGGCATAACTCCATTAAAATGTCCTAATGAAGGGGCATAACTCTATTAATTAACATTGATGGCTGCTAAAAATGAACTGAACTGTTTTTATATGTCAACTATAAACACAATCGCGGAATGTAAATTTTTTACAGAAAATCTGCTTTTTACGGGACATAACTTTTTCAATAATAAAAAAATCGAAAATTACCGAGTCTTTTTAGAACATAGCTAAGATGCTAAATATAAACACACTCTTCAAAAGTAATCATGCGGAACCCATTTGTTTGCGGACAGACGGACAGACGTTCTTCTTGAGTTGCCTTTATGGGGTTACTTCTTTGATTTTTGAGTTCCAAAACCCTTTAAGCAACCTATGTCCCCATAAACAACTTTTTCTCCCGCAAGATCAGTCTATACGTAATGAATACAGACATTCATCTAAAAATGTCACCTGAGTGCAAACAGACGGACGGACAATAAACGTATAATGATTGACGCCGGACCACATTTTATGTATTTTGCTTGTTAAGTTTTGGTATGTATTTGTTGGGGCTTATCATTTACTTTCACTATTGGCTGTATTAAATACACATGTATATACATGTAATAAGTGTGCTTCCATTAGACAGTTAACATGTACGTATACGTATATTAAGGCCCTGTCACACTAGACTGCGCTTTCACTGCGTTTGCCCGACGTTGTTAAATTAAACAAACGCCGCGAGATCGCAATAAAAATGTGATATTTTCGATGACATGCAGTCTTTGCGGCGTCTTCACGACGTCCTCACGGCGATCATGGCGATGTTACGGAGCTTCCACGGTGTTTTAATTGGCGGACTGCGCTTCTACTGCGTTCTTTGCGCTTCCACTGCGCTTTTACGTCGCTCTTGCGACGCCCAAACTGCGCTTATATCGCAGAGCTCCGTAAAAGCGCCGTGAACATGCACTATCTACTGGGCTTTTATCAGAACGCCGAGTAACGGCATGCTCAAAATGCGCCGTCGGACGGCGTTCTATGCGATGCTACTACGATGCTGCGGTGATGTTTGCGATCTTACTGCGCTCACCTCGGCGTTCTGAAGTTTCTTTGGACGCCTTGAGAACGCCGCCTTAGTGTGACTGGGGTTTAACACATAATGCACTGTAAGGACTCGTGACCTTTATTATTTCCGTTCAATATAATAATTATTGTACTTTGTTAGCGAAATATGATCTTATCTTCAAATAAAGGAAGGCATGATTATGTTTTATCAGTGGTTTTAAGTTCACCTGGAAGAACGTATCGTAAGGTTAATAGGTTCCCCTGATTACCTATCTAACGCGGACTGACCTCATAACGTCGCCATAAATATCTGCGTAATCGTTACATATTTTCGTAGGTTATAAAAGTGCTTGAGTTTTTTTTTCGTCGGATAAAAAATGTTCGTCAACTAGGAAGTTAACTCGTATGAATTAAGACCCGGGTGAAATTGGGTCAATTTCCGGAATACTCCGTATATATTTCTTGTGTATTTTCTTATTCTCTTGCTGTAAGTATATGAGGCTAAATTCAGGATTCCAAAATGTTGAGAGTTAACTTTCTTCAACTTTAATCATCAACACTATCTATGAAGACCCTTATGAAAATTTCAATTTTTTGTGTCACGTGTGTATTTGAGTTTAGTTATACTCGCCACCGGTTGCCCATATAGGCAAATCCTCCAGACGAGTCTTTTATATTTTTGGATGATAGTGCAAGATACAGATACAGAAAGATGCCCCAATTCCAGAAGCTTCTACTGGTTCTTTAACGTGCCGAATGTTAAAGCACTGATACGCGGGACCTTGATTTAAAGTCTCATCCGAAATACTTATTAGTAATTTTAGTTGGCCAGTCCGGGAATCGAACCCACAATGTCGACATTACAAGTCTCGCGCTCTTACCAATTGAGCTTTGCGGGCTGGCACGACTGATTTTGTCCAGTTAAAGAGGTGCGTCTGCTGCCGCGTAGTATAATTTTTATCCTTCCGCCCGAAAAAAGGTCCTGAAAAATACACACTATATACATGAGATATCACATAAAAAAACACATACATGCAATAAATATACTTGAAATATGACCAAACTAGGAATAAATTTAAATGACACACTTTCAAATTTTAAAGAAAACTACTGTAGAACTCAGTTAGATCGAAGTTGAAGGAACCTTGAGACTTCGACTCATGTAACTCAAGACCGGGTTGACTTGTGGACCGTGTCGCCTTGTTCCTCTTAATTGGACCATGTCCGTTTTTATACTGTATTATTTGCATTGGACTTTTGCTTGGAATAGATACGACGTGTAATACTATTTTGAGCTCTACCACTCTTCTTTACTTCATACGGGGCCAACGACACAAAAAGTATGGTGACTGGTTTGCGCCATGTCGATTTTCCGGTATTTTCGTTTTTCGAATTTTTCGGTGAGAAATCGGAAGTTCAACAAAGTCAGGCAAAGCTATGACCATTTGTTGCATTTTTGGCCATTACATGTCAAATCATAAATTTCATTTTTCTTTCTTCTTTCTTTTTTTCTTTTTTTTTTTTTTTTTTTTTTTTTTTTTTTTTCGTGTTTTTTTTTTTGCTTTGCTAGTTCGACATTGTTGCTTATTCATCATGTAGTATTTTACGCATGCGCTTTATTACATCACGCAATCATGCGCTTTCCTTATTTGGCAAACAAGCGAAAATACATGGGGGTTAACAGCAAATGAAAATGTAATTATGCAATTATGCACTTAAAGTGTTTTGTTTCAGCAGATTTTTAATCGGTTAAGTTATAAATTTACGGTGCTCGTAAACATTCATCTCGTTACTTGAGCATTTCGAGCTTATTGAGTACATGTGTAATATACCAGCTGATTGTTGACTCCCATACACCCCCCCCCCTCCCTCCACACGATCTTTCACAGCATGTACAATATTTTAATGACATTTGAACTTGAATTCTTGTTTCTATTGGATAGATTATAATGTTTCTTGTCAGACAGCTTTGATACGCCTTAAAGATCCTTGGCTTACAAATATTGATGTTTGAAAAACAATGGGTGAGTATTTTTAGATTTGAAGAAGCCTTTGATTAAATTGGTGACAGTATAGTGATTTATAAACTTTTATGAAAAATCTGTACAAATTTTACAATCAAATCCCTCTAACAGAGAACAAATTGTGTGTGTGTTTATTTATACTCGCCGCCGGCGAGTCCTCCAGAAGAGAATAAGTCATTTTCATATTTCGGAGGATAGTGAAAGATACATTATACAGTTTGATGCTAAAATTCCAAAGGTTTCTCCCAGTTCTTTATGGTGCCAAGCGTACAAGCGTTTATGCAGAAGACCTCATTTTAAAACTTCATCCGAAAGGCTGATTCGAAATTTTAGTTTGCCACCCCCGGAAATCGAACCCACAATGATGTCGAAATTACAAGTCTCACGCTCTAACCGACTGAGCTATGGGTGCTGGCTATATACATTTGTAATCAATGATAAATCTGAAGGTTGCCGGTTATATCAGGTGTACCACAGGGCTCAATCTTAGGTCCTGTACTGTTTCTTTCATACACAAATGATATGTCAGTCGCTACGAATTCAGAAAGTGACATGCATGAAGACCTTTCGACATTACACAAAGCTGACAACGTTTGAGTGATGTAAAGTCTGAACTGCAGCTGGACTTCAAATATCAAAACTTTGGAAATGGTGCTCCTTGAATAACATATAATTTAGAAAAGATA